CATGGAATAGGCTCTCTCATTTGGGTTTTATTCCAGTACCTCTTTGTTAAGTGCCATTTTCTGATGGCTGGACAGGGACTCATTCTTTGCCAGCCCAGTGTTGGTTCCCAAGTTTAGTACCCATCCTCTTAAAAGGCTGCGTGTTTCTTCAGGATTACTTTCAAGCCCTATACTTCTGTTTTGAAAGAATAATGGGTTTTGTTCTGTAATGAGACAGCAAAAGAGCAAAGGTTTTTCTTACCAAATATTCAGCTCCCAGAAGTTGAGTCACTATCATGGGGCTAACCAGACAACGTCACCACCTTGCAAAGCACAGCATCGACACTATTTTTCCCTGGCACATCAATTTTCTCATAACGGCCAACTCCACTGTGTTTCTGAAGTGTACACCTTGCAGAGAAAGTAAGGCCACCACTCCTCAGCCCAGCCCCTTCCTCAAAGGGCTGGCATAGCCTGCCTGCAGGACTGTGCAATCATTTTTGAAAATCAGCAATGCTGGGACCAAGTTCCATTTCTCTGATCAATCAATGCAGCTGCTGAAAAAGACCTGCACACTTGTGTCCCTCACAAATACAAATTTAGGTAGAACCCTCCGGAGTTGGCGGGAGACTCAAGAAGAGTTCACATGTCTATGCCGCTCAATTCTCTGTAAAACACAACTGGTCAAAAAGTAACAAGAGCAATTGCAGGGAAGCCTACAATGTGGATCTCAGGATATATTCCCATTACTCCAGGGTGTCACATAGACTCAGTGGAATGATTTTTCAGCTTAATACAAAGTGAGAACTGCCACTGGGTAATAAATTCCTTTCTGTCCTAAAATAGTCGTCCACCAGATGATCATTGCAAGAAGCAAGAGGTGTTTTATCTCCCCAGGTGGTAGCAAAGTGCCTCTTCTGATGGAAAAATGCTGATTTATTCCCAAATGCACAAATCCTGCTTGCTGCTCACCTCCGTCCCACCCTCCTGAAGGCAAGGATGTTCCTGACTGTCAGCACTGCTGGCTGAACTCAGCAGCAAACTTTATCACATCTCATCTCAGCCAGGCTCTTAGCTGAATGAAGTGAGAGTCCACCGATGCTAACATTGGAAGAACCCAGAGGAAGGGGAGAGAGGTCTGACTTCCGGGGGAGTGATTTGCACTCATTACCATTTGCTATCTAGCCACTGTGGCCAAATGGCAGCATCCCTCATCAGGCTGTCCTTGAACATCACTCACCAGTGACTAGCTGGAGTGTGTCTGCGTGTTGTAGTGGGGGTGGGGTCAGTGGGGTTCACTGTGGAGCCAGCTGGTCTGAAATGCCCAATGCTCCTGTACCTCTTCAGATATTAACATGTGTAGGTCAGAATTAGCCAAATTTCAAACGGCCACAAGCATGTCCCAAATGGCCCTCTGCTTGCACCTCCTCTCCTCCAAGTCCCAATCTAAATCTCGGCGTCTGACAAACCGCGGGTGAGAGCTTGCAGGAATACTAGGGAAGGAGCCTTGCCAGAACTGAAATCGAGATGAATACAACAATGAAAAACACTCAGGACCTCGTGGGCTTTTGCAAGCAGAGCACTCGAACCCAGTATGTGCAAACCAACAGATGCAGGATTGGCCACAGCGATTTATAGCGGAGATGCTAGCAAAGATTTATAGCAGAAGTGAGAGTGTTGGTGTTCTTGCAAATGCAGAGGTTTGGGGGAGACAGATAGAAAAGGACAATGAAGAAAGAGAAAGTGACAGATTCCAATGCAACCCAAAAATTCGGAGCCACTCTTACTATCAGACTTTACCATGATTTCGGTGATCCTAATAGTCTTTGAACCACACTGGAAAATATCACAATAGATGTTTGAATTAAAATCTAGTAGATTTGCCAAAAGACCAATTGTTTAAAATTGGCAGCATCCCAGAGAACTTACTAGGCTGCATACTGCCCGGGGCTGAGAGAATTGCTAATTCCAGAGAAAGTTAATTATCACCTTATTGATAAAGGGGTAATTTTTAAAGCTTATGGTGTGGCTTTTGTGACTCATTAATTAAAATTTAGAGTAATTTACTAGACACAGTGGTGGTTTCTGTTACATTATATAGGTACCAAACCATTTGATTTTTTTTTTCTCCCAGGGGCTGTTATGAATCCCCGTCATTTCTCCTCACCTGTCTGCCTTCCAAAGCAACAACAACAACAACAACAACAAAAACATTAAAGACGTGTAAATCTCAAACTAGCCCTTTGGGAGATCGCTGGATTAAGATGCCCAAGGAGGCACTTAAACAAAGCTCCCTCCTAGATAGGTCCAATGTGCCCATCAAAATGAAGAGGCATGTGTGCTCCCACCCAAAGGGACCAATTTTACAAACTTCATCTCCAAAATGTTAGACCGAATGTCATGCCCGTCGGTAGTTAAATGGGAAGAGAGTCACTCCTCCCCTCCTCGCTCTTCTCTCCTTCATCGATCGAGTAAAAGCCTAAGGCTCCGGGAGGCAGAGGAGCGGCACAGACTGAAACGGGAGGTGCTTGGAATCTGAAGCCCCCAGCCCGACAGGACTCGGGCCAGCGTCGCCTCCCGCTTGCTTCAGGGCGCGTGGACTGCGATGGGCACGCCCCGGCTACCTGGCATCTGCGTGATGCCCAGGCTTCGAGGGGAACACACCGGGGAGGAACGACGCCCCGCCGAGCTCAGCAGCCCCCCGCCCCACCCCGGGCCCTCCCGGGAGCGAGTTCTGAGCTTCGGCCCGCCCCCCACCTCTGCCTGGACTCAGCGGTGTCAGAAGGGCGATATGTGGGTTCGATGTATCCTCTGGCCGCCGCAAACTGTCAGCAGATCAGCAAAACACTCGGAAATGGAACTCCCCCAACGTACGAAGGGGTATTCCTCTCTGAGCATTGCTTCTTTTCATTCCAGGGAACTTCAGCAATGTTGCCTTAAATTTGTTGGAAGTTATTTGCGATTCAAAATTGAGATGAAAAATATAAATAAACCGCCCACATTATGAGAGTGGTCTGACGCGATCTGCTTGTGATTTTCGTATCATTTAAAGTTTTAAAAATGTTTAAATTCGATCTTGGTGCTTTGGGGCACCGCTTGAATATTTTATAATAAGCAAACATTACTTAACATTGAAAAAGTCATTACTTCTTTGAATTTCCAGTGTAAAAGTTCTTGCCACGGGACGACAGCCCCGAGGGGTGTCCCAGGGTGGACTTGATTTCTAGCAGCTGGTCTGCGGGCCCTGCCACCCCAGCCCCCAGAAGCCAAGAACCAGAAAGTGAAACTGCTTCTGCTGGTTTCACTTGCCTTGAAAACACACCACCAAAAGCAAATAAAGGACCGAAAGCGATTTACTCTTGTTTCTCTTATTGTTTTATATTCTTTCTATTATTGTTCATTTACTTTTTTTTTTTTTTTTGCAACCCAATAAAAGTAATGTGGGCGACACAAAGAAATTGAAACATGTTGCATACAGAAGAACTGATTTTTCTGGGATTTGCACTTGTAATTCTATAACGCAAGCTGGCTGATAAATTTACCAAAATATTACAGAGACTGTCCACATGCACAATTTAAAGAGCTAAGGAAAACAAGGTTACGTTTTCAAAAATGTGTGTCACACATAGGTTTAAAAGGCAAAGATTCTGGTGCCACCAAACAACTACCCTAAAGCTGAACTTCCATGTTAACATTTTATTTGAGTTTAGATGATCACTACTGTCCTTCTAGGTAATCTTCGCCCAGCTGCTGCTGCTCATATAACCGCCCCCCTCAACCATGTTTTCCGGTTAGTTCTACCAAGCAACATAAAAAATGCCTCACACAAATATTGTACCCCTAGATAGTTTACTTTACCACGCCGTAAATTCCTTCTTAGTTATTTTTATGCTTTCACTTCAAATATTCTATTTAATTTTTTTTAAGTCTTGAGAATAAAAGCACTCTTCAACAATGGTTCCTCTGACTGAAAAGAAAGGAAAACACAAGAGTGTACAACGTCTCGATTCTCAAAAGCCTGGATCACTTTCTCAAGTACCACAGTGTCTGAGACCAACCCAAAGCCACTTTCTCAGAAAGCTCGTGATTGTCTAACCCTCTTGAGTACTGTCATAGAATCCAGAGACAACACCATCGGTCCCCTCTCCAGTATGTTAGAGGTAGTAGAAAGAGCTTTGACTTAACACCTCAACTATCAGTCAAATGACTTACAGCCGATAACCACCCTCGTCCACTGTCTTGTTCTGCTCGGCAAGCAAGCTGCAGAGGTGCCTTCATGCTGTCACATTTTAGTTACACGACACCCCACCTGGGAAGAAGGTGGCTCTGTATTTGAACTTGGGAAAACTGATCCTGACATTCCATAGCCACCTGGTTTTTTCCCAAAAACTAACCAGTACCAGCAACTAGCAGTAAATAGCATTCTCATCTATCTTGATTAAGAAAAACACAGTACAAAGACATGTAAAATATTCCATCTGGGATATAAATAATAAAATTCAATTTCAAAAAGTACTCTTGCATGCTCACAACACATCAATTTTAATAATTAGACTTTAGTAAATATGTTTATCCCAAGACATATAACACTTTTTAAATTAAAAAAAGACAAAAAACAAAAGCAAAGCGAAATCATCATGCAAAAAACAAAACAAAACAAAACAAAAAACCCCCCACAGGTATTTGAGTTCACATTCAGGGGGTGAAAACAACTTTCTATATATTTAAATGCAGTTAAAGAGTAGTGAATGTGTACATACCCCAAATTTATAAACTATATAATTCTATCCTGCATCTTCCTCTCTGAGATCTGGCTAAGAAATCAAACATTTTTGTTTTGAGTAGGAGGAACTGAAGTTTACCTGCTGGCCTCAGTGGTCTTAGGACAGGGCACTCGCGCATGGCCGTAGAGGTAGGCACGCAACCCAGATAAACTGAACCAGGTAACCTGTCGTGCTGACAGGAGAGAGAGAAGGAATCCCGTGCCAACGGCACACCCTCCAGTTGTGCATCTCCCTTACCTACGGCTTGTTCACCAGAGCCCTGATCAGGTTCTTTACCAGGCCGGGAGTGTTGACTCAGAAGACAGATGACTTTCGGTACATGCAAACCGAGTATTACAAAAGCTAATCTTCCACCCGTGTGTTAGTAGCTCACAGTTCGTCTCCAGCAGCCCTGCTCTCCGGCTGCAAACATCTCATTAGACTAATGCATTCAGCACAGGCAGAAAACTCGATTTACCATAGCTACAGCAATGAATTTCCATTACGATGACAGCTTCAACCACATCATGTCCGGAAAACCAGCCAACCACTGGCTTTTAAAGAACACACACATTTTACATGCAGAAAACGAGGCGTGTGTGTGTATGTGTGTGTGTGTGTGTGTGTGTGTGTGTGTGTGTGTTTCGTGTTTCCTTCCTCTTAGCAGCCCAACTAAGAGAAAATGTGCAGTGTAGCTTTTTGCCGACATGAGCTGCAGGGTAATGACACTTCTGCTTCTTTGGTAGTTACATCCTTGTAATAACCTGAATTATGTCACAATTGTCAGAATGGGTGTTTCCAACATTTCGGTTTTCATTACCACTCCTCTGTTGCCATAGAAACCAGACTGTAACATCATCTCTTTGTCCCATTCCTACAGCAGTGTGGGCCAGCACCGGGCTTGTAAGATACTGCTGGTCGAGAGGAGTGGATGTTTGACTCTGGACAAATAAAACAACAACAACAAAAATATTCTAATAACATAACTGTTCAGGAGAGCCTGTGTGTTTGCCAGAAGAATGTTGCCTACTCAGGTGAACACACCACGGGCATACATATTGACTCTACAACCGCATACAACACACGTAGTCAGTGGATGGAGCCCAGACTGGAGCTCCAGATCCGTGTGTAAGTGCAGAAGCATTTCTACACTTGTGAACATGATCAGAACTGAATGGGATAGAATGGTCCTCACATGAAAAAAGGGCTACTATTCATCCTCCATGCCCCATTGTGTTCTCTGTGGCAAATCAATTTATACTGGTAAAGGGACTTTTTCTCCTTTTTTTTTTTTTTTTTGTAAATTGGAGCAAGAGTCCCCATTGTCCAGTTCTTTCAGCCCATTCTGGAGTTATTATTCCAAAGTATTTCCTACAAGATGAAACATCCATTCAACAAATGTGACCACCCGTAGGCTTACCCCTGGGGCTGAGCAACAAGCAAATTTAGCAAATGTTTAGGACTAAACATGAACGAGGGCCAGTTAAAGCTTAGACCACAACTTGGACAGTTACCAAGAGTGACAGAAATGAAATTATAATTTGAGGTTTTTCTGAATATTTATATGCAGTGTTACATTAGAAAGAAATAAGAAGCCTCTCTCCTCAGTTATAAACATAAGAAAAAATTAATTTTTTTAAAGTCAAAGCAGTGTACTTATGGAGCAAGAAATACAGTTGCTACTTTAGTTCATTTAATCATCTAATTTTGTTGTTTTGTTTCGTGTGGGACAGGCAAGTTTGGTCGTTTTTCATTTTGGTCATTTAATAGAAGTTGATTTCATTAAAGGAGGAGGAGGAAAATGGGGGAAGGAAAGAAGAGGAAGAGGAAAGGAAACAGGACCCAATGGATGATTACGACTGCCAGCATCTCTGTCACAGTGGTTGTGTGTATCATGCTCATGACCTCAAGCACAATCCCACAGTATGCTCAGCAAAGGACCTCAAGTAGTCTGGGATGTGAGACCAGCGTTCACTTTAAAATGTTTCTTCAGGTAGATCAAATCAATCTTTCTTAAATAATCAAAAATATTTCTCAAATGTGGTGAAAGAAAGAAAGAAAGAAAAAGAAAGAAAGAAAAGAAAGAAAGAAAAGAAAGAAAAGAAAGAAAGAAAGAAAGAAAGAAAGAAAGAAAGAAAGAAAGAAAGAAAGAAAGAAATAGGAATGGAGGGAGAAAGGAAGGGGGAAGGGGGGAAGGAAGGAATGAGGGAAGGAAGGGAGGGAAGGAGGGAGGGAAGAGCTTCACAGAATCTGCCCAAAAGAAAGGAGCTTCCAGTTTTCCCATTCAGCTCTGCGTGAGTCAGTGAGTCCAAGCCTTGAAGTCCACTCTTCCTCACCTCCTCACAAATGTGCTATTGTGACCTGTCCTTAAGCCGAGTGTGCCTGGGATGCAGGCATGGGCATCATAGGTCAAGTGCACAGTGAGACTTAAAACTGAAGTTAACTATAAAGATGGCTTACTTAAGGAATGATCAATTGATAGATCAATTGATGCATCAATCGATAGATATCCACTGGAATTTCTTTTTTTATGCACCAGAAGTATAGGCCTTAAGAAATTAAATCCATGTTTTTAAAAATTCTAAACGTTTTTCATTCCAAGAAAAAATTAAGTCAAGCATGTAAGAGAAAAGAAATTTGGTGGACTGACTGGCTGCATGCAAGCTAAGGAATATGTTAAGCAGAAAAGGGGCCCTTCCCAGCTAACATCCCTCTCAGTCTTGTACACCCCTGGGCTGCAATCAGGATGCTTAGGTTGTGCCACGTTGTTAATTTTCTTTGGCACTGTAGTTACATTTCTGTCTCAGACCACAGGCAGCACGCTCCACTCTTTCCACACAAATGCTACTGGGTTGGCGGTTAGCAAGAGGCGGCCAGAGGAAGCAGGTTAATTTGGGGGTATCCCAGATGCAAAGCTACTCAGAGTAGTATCCCTTTGAAGAGTCATCCCTGTCAGCAGCTGGTAGTAAAGAGCTGTGGCTCCAACAAGCAGCAGGTGTCCCGCCTTCATCTGGGACAGGGGAGTGAGTGCGATTGCAAAAACAACCCATATAATCAACATATTAACTAACACTTACTAGCGAAGTACTAAGTCAGAGCCCTTTTCAAGTGTTTCCTCACTTATCACAACCCTATGAAGTAAGTATTATGAGGACCATCCCCATTTTACAGACAAGGAAACCGAAACAGGGATGCTAATAATTTGCCCAAGGTACAACAGCTCAGAAATGCTGGATACAGGATTGACCCAGCCAGTCTGTGCCTAAAGGCAAATAATTAATCATCTGGCCATGTGGCCTCCTGGCACTGCCCCTTCACCCTGCTCTGACATTAACCCAAAGACATACATCAAATCACTGTCCTTAAATAGTATGGGGGATGGGGGTAGAGCCCTAGATCCTCTTTGGGGTCCCTTACGGTTCTGACATTCTACAGTCTGATGAATTGCTTTATCTGCAGGGCTGGAACAGACCAATGCTTTGGGGTGGAAAACTCAGTTGTAGTTGTGGCTATGGCCGTGACTGCTAAGGAACAAAATACACCCTCTCTCTCAATAGAGTAAGACCTGGTGAACCAGTGCTTTGGAATGCCAACTTGGGGTGGAATTGGTGGGAGAGAGCATGGAGAAAGAACAGGAAAGTGTTAAGGCTGAGATTCCATTCCTGAGGTAGCAAAGGGAGACCTGTCCCCCATACTCCAGTGACCACAAGACTTTGCTTCCCATCATTCAACACAGACATTTCCTTAAGTGTTTGAAAGTTTGAGAAGCTTCAGGTTATGGAAGTATGAGGCTTTTGTCACCATTTTGCCAAAATGGACATCGAGGCAGCAAAGGATTTACCTGAGTAGTCAGACACGAGTGGCAGGACAGAAAGCACATGCCAGTCCCCATGGCTCCTCCAACCCAAGTGTTTTTCAACCTGAAGCCCTGCCTTCCATGGGGCCAGATTTTCTTTCAAACAATGCAAGCAGGGATCTTTTGAAATTAAAAACAAAACTGTTCTTTTTTAGTGAAGGTAAGCAGGAAACAACCTCAATGTTCAATAAAAAGAGATTACTTAATGGGGTGCCTGACTGGCTCAGTCCATAAAGCGTGTGATTCTTGATCTCAGGGTTATGAGTTTGAGCCTCACATTGGGTGTAAAGATTACTTAAAAATAAAATCTTAAAAGAAGAGAGAGAGAGAGTTTACTTAAGTAAGTGTATCATGTGTCCACGCTATAGATTATACAATGTACTACCAAAAAGGGTGTCATAGAAGACCATGTAATGACATGAAAAAATGCTCTCAATATGAAGTTGCTAAAAAAAATTGCAGGTTACAGAATAATATGTAGAATCTTGTTTTGAAAAAATAATTTGCAAAATGCTGGAGATATGTTAATAATAATGATCTCTTGGTAATAAGATTATGAGTATTGTGTATCTTCTTGATCTTTCTTTTTTATATTTTCTACAAAAGAGGACCTACTTTTTGATGACAATAAAAAGTTATGTGAATTAACTGGTAACAGCATTTTTCCTATCACATCAACAAACATATTTGCTTATAATTCTCATAAATCTTAAGTCTCAAATTCCTTTTTTAATCAATGAAATAAAAATAAAACATCTGCCTGGTGATTGTAGGCCACATTCAGCCATGGCCTTAGCCCGTGCTTCGAGCACAGAATCTGCCCCCAACTCACTCAAGCTGTCTTTGCGGTCCTCCACTCTGGGCTTCCCCACCTCCTAACACCTTCAAGCCATGCTAGGTACTTAGCACATCCACAATAAAATCAGAGACAGACTCCCTATCCTTCCCCACCCAAGGGGTCTCACAGTCTGTGGGGTCCTCTCCACGCTGGTAATAGTCTTATTCAAGTAAAGCCACGTGCTAAAGACACCAGAGGTGAGGGTGGGGAGGAGGGAGGTGATGGAATAAAGTGAAAATCACTCCTGTCCAAGGAAAGAGTGACTCATTCAAGTTCTCCTGGGCCTAAAACATGGTTCCTTTCAGGTGGGGCCTCCTTCTCTTTGTGGCTCTGGGCCTGTGCCTCTGGCTGATATTCAGGGATTGACTTAGTGGAAATATTTGTCTCAAAGTCTGGCAGTTTGGGTAGTAGCAAGCCGAGAGACCCTCATCCCAGGGCCAGGGTCTGTTAACAGGGGTGGTTTGGTAAGGGCATGTGTTGACAGCCAGGAGAGTTTAGGGGGACTACAGCAGAGGCTTTTTCTTTGGTCACTAGGCCGTAAATTCCAAGATGGCAGAGGACCAGTCTTGTACTCCACTGTAACACATGTCTGGTCTACAGTAGGAAGTCAACAAATAATTATTGCTGATGAATAAAAGAAACTAGGGGTTAAAGACGGTGACCTAATCTTAAGCAATATTAGTATAAGCTTTTAGAAACTATTCCTTTTTCCCGGTAAAAGTGATTGACTTTGGATGTCTGTCATCAAAAATAAAAAATAAAAAACAAA